ATTTGAATAAAAATATTATCTATGTAGAAATTTGCTTTCATTTCAACTTGATTCAAACTCAATTATGTATATTTCATTGTTTTATAGGGGAAAAAATCACTCAACCCCTAGTCCTATCATATAAGACTTCTTATGTTCATATCGTTTGCATTCAACGTAAAAATATCCGATGAAAAAACGTAGATGTTATAGCAACTATAGGTCATCGTACGGCCTTCATCAATATGCAAAACCCATACCGCAATAAGCAAGCCATAAAAGGTCCAGACATAACAAAATATAAAGCATTCCAAACGAGAAAACAAAAGCCTGATTTATGCACAAAACAACAAACGAGTAACAAATATGATTCACAGCAACGAACGACAATCACTAAATTACAATCTCCTGATTTGGGACAGGCATATAAATAATGCGAGTCAAACATATTTGTGTGCGTTGTAAATTACACCACAGACTTTCTCTATTCAAAGAATAAGTTCGAAAGTACATAATTATTACCAATTCACCATGATAAAGAAGGTTTATAATGTAATGTCTTTCGGATTCAAACTAATTAAATTTGGTTAGCGATGCAAAATTTTAGATATTTAGCTTTCAAATTAAAAAAAAAATACAGGGGAAATTGTCCGCATCTTTTTGCATCGAAGAGTATCCGACGAAAACGGTATTTTTTTTTATCTATCACATTTTTGTTCATAAAAGACATCGTGAGGTTTTTGAGTAAAAATTAACATTTTAAAAGACTAGTGTGTGAAATGCATTGCCTCTTTTACAAAAGTATATTCACGCACGTAGCGTGACAAAGAGAGGCACGTTTTTCTTTACTGACTTTTATTGAAAAAGAGAATTTTCCTTTTATACACAATATTTTCAAGCAAGTACAATGTAATCTTTGTCATACAACTCCTGATCACTCCTCTCGCGGTTTTTATCAAATTATTTAAGTGAAATCAATGGATCTCGTAAAATTTACGACTCCAGAATATTTTTCACAGTTGATTAGTATTTGAAACATCGGTACTAAATATATCATGCTGAAATTTTCTTTCTTATGCACCGTTTTTTTTTTCCTTTTTTGGAAGAGGATGCATTTCAAAAAGAAATAAAAATGTTTGACTAAATGTCTTGAAAAATGCATTGCTTGTTTTGAAATGGAATCGAAAAAGTAGTTTATTTCTACTGAAAAATATTTTTAGTTTCATAGATTTATTTTGAATCCATGTAAAGTGTCCCGACATGACGTTCAAAATACGGTTGTCAATCAATTTAAAAAGGCGGGACAAATGGCCATTGGTATCCAATGTACAAAGTGTTGAAGAGCGGTGATGCTCAAACACATCGAATGACATTGTCATGAATAAATGACAATGTTGTATAAACAACAAAAGGGCCTACTACATAATCAGATTGTTTAATCCTAATTCAAAATAAAGTTGAAATTGACAAGCAGCTTTGTAACCACTGTCATGATGTTGGGTGTAATACATGTACATGAAATTTACAACCTGTCCTACGGTTGTCGTAATATAAATGGAATTGCCGATATCTATTTGCGCCACAACTTATTTGCGCGAATGCTGCTCCTGTGTCCCACTTCATTTTGGAAACTATATGTTTCATTTGCGCCAATAAAACAAATATACATTTGCGCCAATTTTATTAAATCATTCATTTTTACTTATATATATCTACTAAATGAATGACTTCCCTCCTCCTTTACAGATTTAACCATTTACTAATGTCCGTTCTATTTTTCTAGACATCAGTATTCTTTTGCAAGACCCGAATTCTGTATTTTCCTCCACCAAGCCTGACCAAGAAGGAATCTACAAGACTTGATGACGAAGTCGCTTACTGTTTTATGCATTCGTTCTTCAAAATCTAGATGAATGGTTTTAATGTTCAAGGTCAGGTTAAACTTCTTGCAACTTTCATCAAGTAAGGAAAACATGTTCTTGTAACAAGCCTCTGATTTTGACGGTAACAGACAAAATAATGATGGAATATAATCCATTCTTAAAGCCATGTATAGTATAGAGTTGTTTGAAATATTTTGGACAATATTTTTAAGTAAATGTGTGATATAGGTAAAATAATATACAGGTAAATGTGGTTCAATTTGATTCCATTTATTGGCGCGATTAATACCATCAGAAAAATAGAGAAGATTGCAACTGATACCTTTTCCAAACTGTGATTGCTTAAGTGTGCGGTAATATATTTTAGCTAGCGTTATTTATATGCACGGGAAATTTTACACAAGGATTCTTGGTCTTGATTACAGTAAATAAAAATATTTACAAATACCAAACGGACAAAAAAAAACAACTGATAGTTCATCTTGTGCATGTGACTATTTGGTTTTTTCAATGTGGTGTATGTAGAATTTTTAGAAAGTTGTTTTGTTCGGTATAATAAAACACTTAATGACTGGTTATTAGTGTAATAGCAAGTTTGTTGTCCCTTTGACACTACCTATTGTCCTTTGTTTCGCCTAGAGCAATAGTTGGTATCTCAAGGACAACAAACTTCATATTACCCTGATAACCAATCAATAGGTGTTTAATATCAACGCAATAGTCCCTAAAGAGAAAGCGAGAGTACTTTTGCCAGTGTAGGGGACAATTATAACATTTTCTGATATTGTTATTTTATATAATCGACTTATTGATAAAAGAAATTGCATAGCCGAATATTCAAAAATTAAAAATGCTATACCTAAAATGTACATGTAAAAATATTTCCTTTCTCTATTGGTACTGTACAGGTATACCTAACAACAAAATTATTTTCATTTACCTGTGTTTAAAGTTATTGCAAATGGATGGTATTTTTGTTCGAGCATATTGTTTTTCTTTAATTGTTTAACATTTCTTACCGATATAACATGTTACTTTTATTATTCTTCCCTTAGTTTATTTATTTTGTATTTACATTGTGTCATAGGTCAAATTTATTTGTTCAGTGTATGTTCAATGGTGTTAATATGTCCTTTGATTGAGTTAAACTATTTCAGTTGATATTTTATAGTGTGTCTTTCTATGTTGTGATGTTACACTATTGTTTCAGAAAAAGGGTGAAGGTTTGGTACCATTAAAACGTTTAAACCCGCTGCATTTGTTTGCACCTGTCCTAAGTCAGGAATCTGATGTTCAGTAGTTGTCGTTTGTTGATGTGGTTCATAAGTGTTTCTCGTTTCTCGTTTTTTATATAGATTAGACCGTTGGTTTTCCCGTTTGAATGGTTTTACACTAGTAATTTTTTGGGGCCCTTTATAGCTTACTGTTCGGTGTGAGCCAAGGCTCCGTGTTGAAGACCGTACTGTGACCTATAATGGTTTACTTTTACAAATTTTTACTTGGATGGAGAGTTGTGTCATTGGCACTCATACCACATCTTCTTATATCTATAGATATACTAAGGGGTATAAACATTTTACCGAGCCAGCAGGTCAATTTGTTAATTAGATTAGACAACTTAGATCTGTACACAATTTCAGGTATTAAGATAACTCCCAAAAATTTAAAACTGAAAGATATTCAACACGTACTTAATCAAAATACCTTACTCAAGGCACAATTAAAATGGGAAACTGAGTTTGCTGTAAGTATCGACTGGAAATCGGTTTGGGGTAATTTAAGAAATCTCTGTATAAAAAATAACATTAGTGAATTCCATTGGAAGTCCATTCATAACATTATTTACACCGAATCTAGACTACATCGATTTCATCATTCTTTGGTTCAAGGTAACTGCCATTTTTGCAAAAATCACATTGAAACACAAAATCATCTTTTTTATAATTGTAAAAAGATCTACCCATTAATATTAGAATTAAAAACTATATACACAAAAGTACACTTGACACAGGAATTAATTCTACAAGAGATAAATATGATCCTAGGTATTTATGACAGGCCTATAAAGGAAATTATATTTGGCAATATTCTAATATGCATAGCCAAATGGACAATATGGAAACTTCGAAATCTAATAAAGTTTGAAAACATCACTTGCAATAATAATAGAATTATTAGACAATTTTATTGTGAACTAAAAGAAAATAAGTAAAGTGGACATCTATCTCGCCTGTTTTCTCTGGACAGGAGTGAGAATGTAACACAGGAACCCTAAGTATGCTCTCCTGGGCTACTAAGGTAATTGTAACAGGATATTGGAAATAAATTGTATTTGAGTTTAAAAAAAAAAAAAAAAAAAAAGAATTTATCAGAATTCAGATTTTTAACTTGTTGGACGAAGTCCAGTGCAGTTGAATTTTTGTTATTGCCACTGTATGTCGGTATGGACGAAACAATCTTTACTGTGTTTAAGATGACAAATACTAGTTTTATTCATATCACTTCGTAAAAAACAAACCTGTAATAACTGAGAACCATATATTTTCATACTAACATTATCTTATTAAATTAGAGTTGGGTTTTTTACATATTTCTTTTAGGGGGCGAAGAGGGAAGGATATCTGGGAACAAATAATATTGAAACATAATGATCAACCTATGCTGCATATCTACATGCTTTACTTCTTGGAAGTAAACAATTGTAATTTTTTCCTCTTATATTTGATGTGTTTCCCTCGGTTTTAGTTCGTAACGCGGATTTGTTTTCTCTTAATCGATTTATGACTTTTGAACAGCGGTATACTACTGTTGTCTTTATGTAACAAGTCGTCTGAAATAAGGACAAATTTCAAATCTGAAAAAGACAACACATTAACCGCCACTCGTACATAAAATAAGAGGCGAGAGTTACTAAGAACACACTCAAACCTCACCAGTCGAAGGGAAAATGAAAACGCCATGGCATAAAAACTTTTAGTAAATTGGCTAAAATGATGTAGGATGTTGTGGTTTGTGGATTGACAAGTACTGTTATAGGTCATGAACCGGTGTGATGTATTGTTTGTTTAAATAACACAGGTTTTCACATAATACTAATATCATTTAGTCAGTTCAGATATGGAAATGACAACATTGTATTCTAAGTACCAAGGAAGTATTTTATTTTATTGGCATTCAAGTTATAATTTCCTTCTAAAAGTTTAATATAATCAATTCAAAATACTTCCTGACTCACATTAACTATAACTAATTTGGATTATGTATAGCAGTCCATAGACAAACAATGTCCCTTAGAAGACGCACAGAAAGTACAACAGATATTTTAGACGACAATGATGCAAACATTTGGACAAATAGACAAAAAAAGTTAAGAGGATTTTTACAAAAATCCTGTGTTGTCAATGTAGTATTATTGGTCGTTCTTGTGATTTTACTCATCACAAAAATAGGTCTTTATGAAAAAGACAAAAAGACCTTACAAAGTAACGAAGTGTCGTTCAGGACAACAAATTCTAATAATGGTGTCTGTTTACCTTGTGACTCCTTAGGATCCAGCATCAAAGTTGACGATACTTTGTTTGACAGCATCAGCCGTACGGAAAATGGAGGGAAAATTTGCTGCTATAAAGATCAAGAATACATGCAGAAAATGATTTCACGGGTATGTAAAAAGTAAATTAAAAAAACCGAACTCCATGGAAAATTCAAAACAGAAAGTCCTTTATCAAATGGCAAATTCAAAAGCTCATACACATCAAACGAATAAAAAACAACTGTCATATTCCTGACTTTGTACAGGCATTTCCTTATGTAGAAAATTTTGGATTAAATCTGCATGGTTTTATAGCTGGTTAAACCTCTCACTTGTATGACAGTCGCATATAATGAACGACAACAATGTGTGAGCAAAACACGCAGTCATAATAGGTAAAAATGTCAAAAATTGGGGTACAACAGTCAACATTGTGTTATAATCTTAATCACTATAAAACTAACAACTATTTCAACAAAGAAAAACAAAATGACATATAGACACTCTATAGACAAAGTAAAAAAGCAAAGAGAAAAGACCAGAATACAAGAATGTCCACAGCACAATAATACAATGGCGGGATGTATAAATACCGAGCCACGCCAAAAGTATATTAACAAAAATGGACTAAACAGTTAATGTTAAAAGTATACAAAGACAAATAAAAAGAACACTATAACGCGTAATTAAGATGATAAACAACGTCAAAACCTACAATCTATACTTCAAGACCATCCTGTATTATTTGTGAAGTTGATACGGAATATTTATCAACAAGGTCTTGGTATCTTCCGATGAACTTAAAAGGACAAGACGTTCTTTGACATAACCCTGGTTCGTCATCTTTCTGCTCAGACACTGATGACGTTTTATAAAGTCTGAGTAGCAGCTGCAAGCTCTTTAATGTCGAATGAGTTGGAAATGTATATTCCATATGCAGATGATGTTGGTATATTGCTGCTAAGGTGGGGGGAATTTATAATTTCAAAAGTAAAAACGTATCGTTTATCATAGATTCTGGTTCTATCATGACCGCTTATGTCAAATTCGAGGTATAAGTCTAGAAATGAGACGGAGGAAGCCGTGTCTGTTGTTTCTTTAATGTCTAGTTCTGGAGGATATATTAATGAATCCCAATCAGAAAAGTTTGGATTATTAATGGAAAGAACATCATCAATATATCCGAATGTAAAATTTAATGATCTGGCTTCTTGCTTTCGACAACTGTCTGCAGAAACTACGACTCATATGAAAATAAGAAGAGGTCGGCATGGAGAGGCGCACAATTTGTTCCCATAGGAATGCCGACAATTTTTTTGAAAGAGTATACAACAAATGTGTTGTCAATAAGAAACTCCATCATACTGATCACTTGTACTTCTGTGTAGCATGTTTTACCTTTTTGTTCACTATTAACAAAATATGGCGTATGGTATTCCAGAGCAATACATTTAAAGCGTATGCTTCCATTTTTATATTTAAAAGCATTGTGCATTATTTCTTTTAGACGATTTTCAATTTCACACGGGTAACGGTGGTATACAGGGTTGAAAAATCAAAAGTTTTGATAAAATAATTTCAGTGAAAGAGATCGAAAAATTATCCAGATGTAACGTACATGGCCATTGGTAAAATGCTATAAAACAAAATACAATTATGGTTTTTTCAAAGCTGTTATGTATCCAACTGGTCTCTATAGAATTGTGTTTATTCTCTATGCAAAGTTGGGACTGTAGAAATATAGATAGGTGGCTATTAATGGATAATTGTTTTTAAACTGAAGAGACATAACTTTTAAATCGTTACATATTCATTTAAAACATTTTTTCTACATGAAATGTTCTCGTTCGAAGGAAGAGATTGGAATGCTCGAAAAAGATCTTTGAAATAAGTAGATTTCTATAATGAGGAACAATTGGGAAATTGGTGTATTAGAAGATCTTAAGATTTTGTATGTACGTGATTTTGTTTAAAATTTTTAATCAGTTTGCAGTAAATAGTGTATCAAGTTTCTAATGCAATGTTCTCGATACATAATACAAACAATACTCGTGTTTACAAGACGTTTTTTAAACGTACGTTAAATTAGTTTGCTAACCAACGAAAACAAACTATTGATTATGTCACCATTATGTCATTAGAAGAATGCTTTCAATTGTTCCCGCTTCATCAGTTTAAACACTGTAAATCAACATGATGAACCTGATTATAAACGCCTAAAGACTCTTAACAACGCATTAAGGTGGTGAACAATCGGGATTTCATGAGAATTCATTCTTACCTTAAAGTTTCGTACATAACGAAAGCCGAACCTCTTGCTGCACTTTATTTCTTGCTATATACGTTCTACCATTAAACAAAAATCAAATACAAAACAGTACGAAACATGCACTATGCTTTTGAACTTAAACACAGGATTGAAAAAGTCTGCGGTTAAGGGATGAAACTAGGGGATCCAATGTGCCCTTGTTTCATACCTTGTATCTTATAATAATAAAACTAAACTACTAGTAGTTGTAATGTTACCAGATCTCGGAAAACATACCCGGGCTGTCAAAAAGTTTTAAGAATTTTCCTAAATCATACGCATGTACATATGACATTTGTCAAAAAATCTGAAAAAAAGATGAGTGTGAAAAATAAATGATAGGTCGTGAAATCAATGTTTAACGTTCAGTTTGAAATACTGTTTGATAGTGTTGATATAATGCTGTTTTCGCCTCAATTAAAACATTGAATATAAAATTAAATGGTAGATACAAAATGCCGTTATGTATTGTTACAATGCAAATTTATTATTTATTCCATACTCCTAACAACAAAATCATTAAATCTAAGTTTACCTGTGTACGTTGTTTTATTTATCGCCATTTTGTCCCAGGTAAGAGTTGTCTTATTGACACTTTTCTATGGAACGCCACAGCTGTCTTATGTGGTACTCTGATATCACGTTATGTTGTTTTATTATGACTTTATGATATTTTGTCTTTACATAATATGGTTTTGACATTACGTAATGATATTATGATATACCTCGCGTGGTCACGTGGTTTTACCTCATCAAGTAATGTGATGACCACATCAAAGAATGACAGAACCACATCAATTACTGTAACGAACACATCAAGTAGTGTGAAATCGTCAAATTTTGAAAAATCATTATGTAATGTTAAAGCCATATAAAGAATTGACAAATCATCATTACGAAATAACAAAACCACATCATGTAATGAAACAACTACATTACGTTAAGCCACATACACATCAAGTAATGTTAAAACCACATTACCTAATGACACAACCACATAAAATAATTGTGAAACCACATCGAGTAATGACAAAACCATATTAAGTAATGACAAAACTATATCAAGTCAATACGAAACCATATCATGTAATATCGAAATATCATTAAGTAATGACTATTCCATATTGAGTTATATCATAACATCATTACGTAATTTCAAAACCATATTATGTAAAGACAAAATATCATCAAGTAATAATAAAACAACATAACGTAATATCAGAGTACCACATAAGACAGCTGTGGCGTTCCATACGCTTCCTACATCTTTTTTATTACTACCTGTAACGTCTGTTATTTAGGCACGTACGTGTTAATATTGTATTTATATTGTGTCATAGATCAAACTTATTCGTTCAGTGTATGTTTACTTGTTTTTGTTTAAATGTCTTTTTGATCGAGTTAAGCCATTTCATTTGATATTTTATAGTGTATCTTTTTATGTTGTAATGTTAAACTACTGCCTCATGTTAAGGTGAAGGTTGGCGCCTGTTAAAACGTTTAAACATTTGAATGCACCTGTCCTAAGTCCGGAGCCTGTTGTTCAGTATTTTTCGTTTGTTGGTGTGGTTCATACGTGTTTCTCGTTTTTTATAAAGATTAGACCGTTGGTTTTCCTGTTTGAATTGTTTTACACTAGTCATTTTGGGGTCCTTTATAGCTTGCTGTTCGGTGTGAGCCAAGGCCCCGTGTTGAAGGCCGTACTCTGACCTATAATTGTTAACTTTTTATACGATGTGACTTGGATGGAGAGTTGTCTCATTGGCACTCATACCACATCTTCTTATTTACATTATGTATTCAAAAATCTGTAAAATGTTCATGGACATATGCTGAATGGAATATGAGAGACTGCTGTAAAAGGGATACAACTAGTTGATGCTAGTGACATATACATAAGACGGACCAGTGTTTCACCCAGATGAAAAAGGCATGATGATTTGGTAGTTGAATGTGATATTCAAGTACGCACACGTCATAAGATGAACATGAATGGAATGACAATTCGATTGAAAAGCCTTTGCGTTTTCTCCTTCTTTTGTTATTGTTTGAAATTTTAAAAAAAAGGACACTCTGCAAAGGAGGTCCGTCGGGATACAAGGAGGGAAAAGCCGAGGAGCATGTTGGTTAGTTTACATTTAAAGGAGTACTTAAACGTGCAGTACGAACGTGACACTTTCGGAAGCACCTTTTACATAAGGCATCGCGGATTTAAACTCCCCATTTCGACCGGCCTTGCCTGCGTATTTATATATCCCTCTTAGCCAAAGGGAACTCCGATAATTGCAAATGAGTCGTATCCCTCAGGAGGAGATACTTAGGACCTACTTATATCACCGGGTACCACCAGAAAAATATATTTTGAAGTCTACCTACTGCCTCTGAAAATCTTCCATGTAACCCCTTTTTGTGCGATTATAGAGCCCCTGACAAAGAAGTTTTTGGATCCTCTGTTTTTAGAAATCAAACTTATACAACGAATACTCCATATTTTATGGTATATGTATAAACACTAGCCTATTTGTTTTGTCTTGATTGTTTTATTCATATCTAGATGATGGATCCAATGATTACAGAGCCTGCCTGGGATATTGGTAAGTAAAATAATCATTTTAGCCCAAGAATGCAAAAGCAAGTCGTTCTTTTATTTACTGTAATGGCAATAGATGATCAAGCTTGCAAAATACATCAGTTTAATTGTTTCTGGAATGTACATTGTGACTCATATTTTCATACTATACGAAGATACGAAATATGGACAAACAATTTGTGTATATTTATATTTTAATTTATTCAAGGAAAGATTTGAAAATGATCGAGACAAATTTTATATTTTTTTGGCATTTTTTCTTTCTTTCTTTTTTTACGTATATATGGTGATAAATAAAGAAAGGTTATTTGGAAAACTAGAATTTACGAATATATGGTGATAGATAAAGGAAGGTTAGTTTTACTCATAAAATAACGAATTTGTAGACAAATGAAAAGTTGTTGTTTGAAGAGTACAGCTAGCACTTAATGTACGGGAAATGTCTGGAAAATTGAAATGCAAAAAAAATTTAGATAGGTGGGGCATAACTACGTCAATGAGCTTTTTGCATTTTTAAAAATACAAGCCGAAAACAAATGTTTTATTTTGCCAAAAGTGATGTATGTACATGGAATGATTTACAGTCCTTAACATTTATTACTTTTTCATGAAATTATCACAAAGTATCTCCCAAAATTATATTATTATACAGAACGTGTCAAAGCAAAACAAATATACATGCGACACTTTCGGTCAATATAAATTAAATTATAACGTTAGCTCAGAGACATATAACACAATATGTCTGTGCTTACATTGACGTTATGTGCGAATACGTTCACTTTTTGACCTGGTCACATTTTGTGGAGACATGTACAACTTGATGCAAATAAATGAACATTTGAGCGATCCCCGGAAATCTAAGGCTTAAATAAAGCTTTAAAACAATCACATTTCGGAAATAACATGTGTTATTATATTAAATTAAGAAGGTGTGGTATGATTGCCAAGGAGACAAGTATCCGCCACAGACTAAATGACATAGAAGGTAACTACTATATAGTTTATTTGTGTCACAAATTTGAACTATCCTAGAGTATTATGTGTACTGAAAAAAATGTGCAATGGGTCTTTGGTAACACGGAAAATGTTGAATAGAATTAAAAATGGTATATGATATGTTAAAAATAGATATATGTTCGTAAAATATAATAAAGTCACATTGCTATGATGAGGCGACACACCTGTTTTATAATTTTTGTGAAAATATTACAATGTCGAACTGGTGGCTGTTATATTTTTGTCTGAATTTTCAAATCAAACTGTATTACAGAATTCTGAAAATGGCTGATTGACTCCGAACTGACTTCACCGTTTAACGTCGTGGCTATGATCATATTATTTAAGCTATCGAAATCTATTCTGCAGTCTGCATTTTTCTACGTTAAATTTTGATGGTTTGTTCTTATTGTTACGTCTTACGCGGTTAAAATGGCATTATGCAAACGAATCATCGCTAAATTATTAAATATAACATATTACTGAATATATATTAAAACATATTAAAACCAGTTTTTATTTGGTTTTGAGTCGAAGGATGAATCAACATAGTTAACCATTTAATAATTGGTAGAAATTGATTTGTGTTTATCCTATTTATGCATCAAGAAAGGGTCAAATGAAAAATAGACAGATTACCGTGCGTAAGTTCTAATATGTCGGCACATGGTTGAACTTTTCCGAACAAAAGAAAGTGATTTTTAAAATACTAAGACCAACATTTTTTGACGTTTTAACACATTGTCGGGAATTATCTTTTTTTAAAGTTGTTACACAGTCTGTTTTTTTGCATTCCTTAGAAGCTCTCCAATGAAAGTCACATAAAATATAAAAAAAGAAAATATACAAAAGCTTACAAACATAGTTCGGACAATTAATCATTTTGTAGAATATAATACGAATATTCAGTTATGTTTTTCAAATGAAACATGACATATACTGCTGACATGTAATTTCATTATTTTTTTCTAATATGGGTTTCGCAGAGACTTAGAATAAAACCTATTTGCATATTTATTTACAAAAATAACGCTTATAGATATAATTTTTCAAAAGGTGCCAGCCTAAAGACAACCGAAACTAAAACGAGCATAAAATCTCAAAGAAATGCGAGTATGTAAAAATAGGGTAAATATGTATACTATTCCAATAAAATCGTTTGGTATATGAACAGCCAATAAAAAACATTTCGGTGTACGTTTTCTTGTGCTCCTGTCCGTACATTGTAATTGAAATGAATATTTGAATATGCAAATGAAACCTGAATAATTGTGGAATTATTCATTCCCTTTAAGATTACGTGATCGAAAGGAAGATGAAATGGTGGAGAAACAGACCAAACTCTATTCACATGTATATAGATTTGAACAACCTGACAGGTATTTATGTGTATAGATTGAACATGCTGACCGATATTTTATTTACCATTTTGATTGAATTGGATAATGGATTGAAAATAATGTCACGTAAAAGTAAAACCGAGAAAAACATTATCGCATCCTTATTTTTACGATGATGTTGTGTATAGAGATCGTAAATATAGAAACGATCAATGTAAATTTATCGATCCTTTGAAAAAAGTTATAAATTTTAAACTGTAATAAGTTCCTGATATAGTTTTTATCGGTACACACATTGATTTTGTAATTAATGATTTAAATCCTAACTAAATGTATATTTCTATACAGTTTTAAGAACATTGACAGTCCTACATCCATTAGATACTTATGTTTTGCCATTGTACAAAGTCATAGTTTTCTCAAACCTCTTTTCCTGGTTCAATCCACAAAGTTACGTTAACAAATGTGCGAAGGTCAATTTTGTAGTATTAGTACTACTTTACTTTTAATCACTGTGCGATAAACATGTACATCTAACAAAGGTTACCTTGCAATGAACTCATTTTCAATGTTTAAGGATCAATACAAATGCTTTGTGTTTGTCAATAAAAGGAGATGTGAGGTACTAGTATATGTCAGTCATTGAGCAATTAAAAACGATACTAAACAAATAACCAAAAGACATCTAGGGAGCAACACACACTCTCCAACATTAAAAATATTTCTTACAATATGGCAAGTTCTAAATCGTCCCGAGTGAAAAATGTTAAAAACTTAATCATAAAATAATCAACGGCAGCCAACTACACCTTATTCTCCAAATAACAAAAACATTAAGATAACATAATATAACACACCCACTGACGAGGTTCAATGGATAACCACAATAAATATGTAGTGGGGTTATATATAAATCGCAATGTACCCGTTTTTAATCTCGATTAGTGGACTTACATTTATTTATATTCTACATTTTTTCAGGAACGAATCTTGCGTGGACCTACTCGAAAGACCACCTAGGAACAGCATACTTCAAAGATTTGACCTACAATGCCACAAACCAGAGCATTGAAATAGTAGAAACGAGTATCTATTTCGTCTATTCTGCTATTACCTTTGATTTTGGTGACGTTACTACTGTTGGGTTATATCGGCATAAGATAAAGCAATGGCATCGGCTTCTACCAAAGACGGAACGACAACCTTTATTGCGGAGTAGATTTGGTGGATCTTCAGAAACAAGAAGAATGTATACTAGTTTTCTTTGTGGAGCTTTTAAACTTGATAGCGGTCTCATAGTGCAGAACGAAATTTCTCCTACGGCAATCAAACATGTGAAAAAATCAAAATACGCTAGTTATTTTGGACTATTCAAAATCTGAAAACTAATACAAGGATTACCAGCCATGCGGATATTCAGTTGAAATTAAACCATAGAAATGGAACTCTGAATTGTAGAAGGTACAGCACGGTTAACCTGGCATACTTGGACTGTTTACATATGTTTCTATGGCCTTTAAAAAGTTAAATGTATGTGCATAATTTTTTGATGTTTTGTATCTTATATACATATGATGTATACATAAATTATAGTATGGAGCTACAAGATATGCATCTTTTAAATTAAAGACAAATTATTACAAAACATTCTCTTTCGTTTGGTTCAACTGGTTTTGGATATTGAAGATTCATAATCCTCAATGCCATTAAAAAACATCCACGGAAAGATAAAAGATTTATCTGTTAAAACAGCATTAATCGCATCTCTGCCCCTGGAAACAGAATTTAAAAAAAAAACAATCCTGAAAATAGTTTATAATCAGTCTTATCGTGAAGAGAAAGTCGGATACGCAATTCTATTTTCAGACGTGTTTTAGAAGTCTGTTTTTCCTTCAAACGTTTTTCCCACAAAAACAAATGAAATATCATTTCTTTTCAGATTCAATATTTTTTTTTATATTTTAAGGCTTCAAATTGACAAAATAACATAAAAAAACACGTTACTGTATTGGTCAAGTGAAATACCTTGTAATAAGTCTTATAACAAATTAGGTGTGTTTGAATAACAAACATAAAAAACTCATACTAGTACTTTACTGTTGGATCTTGAAATGCATATGTAGTAAAATTGAGAATGGAAATGGGGAATGTGTCTTAGAGACAACAACCCGACCAAAGAGCAGAAAACAGCCCAAGGCATAATTGTCTTCAACTTGTAAAACGAAAATGTTGCTTATTAGTGAGGGTTGTAGCACAATGAAGGCATTGCGTTTAGGTAGCCAGATAGTTTTGAAAAGTAGTGTCACAGTTCTGCAGCCTTGATATATCTCTTTTATGTCTCATTTTAACATTGTTTTGTGATAGGTCCATTCTAAAACCTGTTTAACTATGACATATGAATATTCATGGTAAAATAATAGTACCAACTGAAATACTATAAAGAAAATCAAATTTGACCTTGAAATGTTTTTTCGAAACGTCAAGTAAGATCAACGGACCCAGACCAATACTACTAAAATCAACGGACTCTTCGCCTATATATATATATAACTCTATAGAAATGTAGATCAACGGTTAAATCAACTGACACCATTGCAAGTGCAATATTGCGAGGCGTAGCGTATCAAAATTTATCAAACTGGTCAGAACCGGTTAAAATGCATACAGAATTAAAGAAATGTAGATTTGACCACTGCATCGAGTGTGATACGATATCTCTCCACTTGAAACAGTTTTAAAATTTGACTGTCAAGAGTGGAGAAATATGGTATTGCAGGAGATTTCGTGTCGGAATCTGTGTTTCTAATGATTTATAGACGATTATCTTTCTTGTTTAATGATCTGTAAATCCACGTCGGAGAAAGATTGAAAAAAATGGGTTTTTTTTTAATGTGAAGATATCAATTGAGTATGGCTGCCTTTTTCCGTGACGTCACAAAAGCAAATTCAGGAAAAGTTCGAAATTATGTACGTCATAATTGAATTTTGAATATTAATGAACTGAGATCAAACGAACCACACGATGATCATAAAAATAATTAACCGATCGAAGGAAATATCAGAATACAAATCAGACATTTTTCCTCTAAAACCAACGAAGGATGGCAAATTAGAAAATAATGAGTGTATGTTTGAATACATATACATACATGTATGTGCTACAAGGAAAACATTGAATTGAAAGTTGATGTAGACACTAGTGACAGAGACATCACTAACCAATCCAGAGATCAGGATACTACAATTCAGGATGTACATGATTTGATGATTAACTTCCCATGTCTGTTCAAATTATTTCTGGGCCAAATAAGGAAATAAAAAAAAAACAGAATGTTGTCTCGAATTCTAATCGAATTACATGTAACAACATAATGAATAATCATTTAGTGATACCATGATTGGTAATTCCTCATTCACTCCGTACATTTCTGGATGTGTTGTCAATTTCAATGAAATATTGAATAAAGATTTACATAAAACGTGAACAATTTGAATCTGTTTTATCAACTGGTTATCTATAATGTTATTTTCATATTGATATTACTTCTTCTTTAACAATGGCAAAACAATAATTATATCTTTATGCTCAGTTTAGCTTAATAATACTGTAAAAATAACCTTTTCTTAATTAAATAATTTTGAATATTAAATGTTGACGAAGGCTATAATTATATCGTCTTTTTTCTCTAATGATAAATATGGGTTAACTTTTTATTGCGGAGGAAAGGGGTGGGGATAGAATTGAACTGGTCAACATTTACCACAAATGTTAACAAAAGTATTACATACCGAAATTCAAACGATCGTAAATAGATACATGTAGATCATTTCATTCATTTGATCCATTTGAACTATTATCACCACTGACTTTGTATCCATTATCGTTCGTTTCTCCTTTACGAAACTGACAATTGCCGGAACGGTTCATTCATGATTCATTTCTATTGACATAAAAAGGTCTGTTTGCCATTGCATTGAGATTACGTCTTGATTAAAACTTATAAGAATTCCACCCATAAAAAAAAATAAATGAAGATTGTTTTGTTTTTTATACCCGACAAGTTAAGAAAATATACAAAACTATTAAGCGCATATAGGAAAAAAAGCACTCATCTATAAACCACGATTATACAATTGTATAATCTACCTTTAAATGATGCTTTTTCTTTCTTTTAATGCAAAGCCTTTCGATACTTTTCTGTAGGTATTTAGGATTTTTATGAAGTTTTGTATGCATTTAGAAGTCGTTGAACTGCATATGTATATCAAAATCATAATATATGTGGCAATTATAGTCCATAGATCAAATTAATTAAACATTTGTGTCATAAATCTATCAATATAAATATAAGAAGATGTTGTATGAGTGTCAATGAGGCCACTATCCATCCAAGTCACAATGTGTAAAAAGTAAACAATTATAGGTCAAAGTACGGCCTTCAACACGGAGCCTTGGCTCACACCGAACAGCAAGCTATAAAGGGCCCCAAAAAGACTAGTGTAAAACAATTCAAACAGGAAAACCAATGGTCTAATCTATATAAAAAAACGAGAAACGAGAAACACTAATGAACCACATCAACAAACGACAACCACTGAACATCAGGTTCCTGACTTAGGATAGGTACATAAAAATGTATAGATTGGTCACAAAGAGCGCCGAACAATATGCATTTTTCAATTTTATTTGACATATCTCGAAAAATTTTCCATATAACTTTTTTTTTCTTTTCTTTCGGCTTGAAAGTTAAAAAAAAATATATTATGCCACGAGTTATGTCATTGTTCAAATCTTTCTCCCATATCACATGAATTATTCGATATAAAAAGCGAACAAACTTCAAATTACATTTATCTTATTCCTCAAATCTGAATAATTATACACTGGAAAAGAAGGAACATGGTGTATAAATAATTGATCCACTACACAAAATCCCTACATACAATTGGCAATACCAAAGGCAAAGGAACAGTACTTTTATTGTTGTTCTTCATGGGAAAGACCATTTTTGACATATTAAGATAAAAAATTTTCTTTGCTTTTCGAATTACAAGTATTAAGTTTGGTATCAGTCTGCATTATCCAAAGGATGTGTTAGAAAAAGGAAATAAACGTATTCCGAAAATGCTGGAAGAGCGCAAAAACACAAACAGGGCTTACCTAGTCGGAGATAAATTATATGTAAACGGCAATCTATGGCAAGGATAGGGGTATTCGGAGTCTGATTTCAAAGAAGACAGTAATAAACCAGAGCCTCACAACAGTGCATTACTAAAGGTTTATTGAGAAAACTGAAAGATAATGAATTCTTGGAGATGGTGAACAAATTTGATATATTATGTTTACATGAATGTTGGGTAAAATGTCCGGAAAAATTCGACATATTGGGTTATGAAAAAGAGAACATAGTCAGGGGAAAATGCAACGGGGGAGGTGTTTTTGTGTTGTATTTAAAATGTTTGAATCGTTTTATCAACTTTGTAAAGCGCTGTGTTGATTGCACGATTTGGCTCAAAATTGATAAAAGTATTAAGTGTGATAACACTGATTTATATATATAATGTAGAAACTCTGGGCTACGTATTTGTGTAACGAAGATCTGGTAAAGAAAGTCAGAAAATAACATTTAACAGTAAGAATGGGTTTAGTGTTATACATGTATACTATAAGTTAATTTCACAAACCATTTTGTACGACTTTACCCTCAGCAGAGCTATAGAAAAACCGTACATTAACGGGTGCTATACATGATTGACTTTTCATTGTAAATTAATTATAAAAACGAACTCTTAAAAACTGCACTAACGAAGTGTACAATCCCCCAAGGCAATTTCCTAGGGAAATAAGCAAAAGAAAGAAAAAATCAGGAGTACTGTTTGTTTGTCTAATTATTATAAATGAAATCAGGAGGATAGAACTATATAAAATCATTTTGAGTTGAGATTTCACCATTGTAAATGTTATTTAATGGTACATACATATAACCCCCCCCCCCCCCCCCCAAAAGAATTGAAAAAGACCAAAAGGTGTAGGTAAAATACATGTAATATTTAAGTTTTTTTTATACCAGACCTTAAATCAATGCATCTGATGTTGAAACGATTGTAAATTAGTAAAATTTATTGATGAAGTTTTGTCATTATTTAAAATAATACAATTTTAGAAAAGCTGATTTTCATAACTTTGTGAGTTTTTAAAATGAGGAAATTTAAGAATACAAGATTAAATTGTACCTGAAGCAGAAGAATACTCCATTTTTGAATAATTTATCCTTTTTTTGGTATCACAAAACTATGTCATTGCTCTTTCATTCCATTTATTGAAATGGCCATTAAATGATTTACATCCCTTTTACTAACCATTTTAACACTTATGTATCTTTATTTCTCAACAAACTAAATTACATTGGTATAGAGATACACACAATAAATATTACATAATGTATATGTACAGACATACAAAAATTATACGGAAGCAAGAGGGAGGCACATATCATATATTACGGTATACATATTAAACTAAATGATATCAAGTACATGAATTACCCAGGAGAGCCTAAATGCATTGTTAAAGGGAAATCACACTATTTATACTACTAATAATAATTCATTGAAATTTTGCATGTAGACAGATCATACATATTAAG